GGTGCATGGGGGCCAACTGCAAATGGGGAGGGGCCAAGTAGGGGTGATGAGGATGAATGGTGTATGCGGGGGCTGAGTGATGGAAGGGTGTCGCTGTGGTGCCATAATTATTTGCCGCCGGGTAGCCCGTATGTGGCGGGCCTGAGTAGACCATTGGTTGATGACTGGAATAGTCCATCAACTGCTCCCTGGGGTAGTTGGCAAACATAGCACCAGGATGATCACGGCCAGCTGGGATCTGTCGCGGATGAGCCGAAGAGGGGTCTATTTCCCCAGAGCCGTGGGGCACTTGAGTGCCGGATTGGACTTGCGTGACGGAGAAGTCCTGACCTCTGGAGTGATCTCTGCTGTGCGGGTTGTGCCCAGAGTAGGCAGCATGGTGGATGCCTGAGGCCAAGTGGGTCGGTTGGCTAGCTCGGATGGATCCATCGGGGAGGTTCATCGGGTGGCCAGAGTTGTTACCGCCACTTGATGAAGAGGTATTGCGATTCATTTCTCAATGCAGCTAAACCAAAATGCAAACATAAAAGGATCAATCACAACCATCTTGTCAGCTGTATTTTGTTATAGAGCTGGAATTCCAGCCATGATGACATACACAGCCAAATGGGATGAAATCTGCCCGTTCTCCAGTGATTCAAAGGGCCTCGGACACACTGGTATGGTGTGAATTGTGGGCAAATACAAATCAAAACAGTCAGTTAAAGTGATCTTCATGTGCTGGGGCCCAGGAAACACCTCAGATTATGACCCATTGGGCCCCCCCACCAGGCTGTGTAGCCCCAATGTGGCCCACTTTGGGGCCATTGAGTCGATCTGACCCATTGGCCCCCTTCAGTGTGCCAGGGAACCCCTTTCTTCCTATATTTGGCCAATATTAGGGTGGGCACTTAGGCCTTGGAACAAGGCCTCTGGAGACCCAAAAAATCAGGTGCCTCGGGGTAGAGGGAAGCCCTCTTGGCCAAGATAGGGGCCCTTGGACCCCTTTTCCAGCCAGCTCAGCCTGCCAGGGAGCCCATTTGTGGGCTTTTTGGGGGGGTTGAGACCCAAAAAAACAGAATCCTCACGTTTTTTTACCCCAGATACCCTTTTTTTGGGTGCCGGATCGGATCGGGTCGGGTCGGATCGGATCGGATCGGATCGGATCGGTGAGTGAGCGGGCGTGCGTGTGTTTACTAGGGATTTGCGGGTTTTGGGGGTTCAGGGGTCGCTCGGGGTGCTCGGGTGTTCCTCGGGTGCTCGGGTGAGTGGCGTTGGTTGGGTCTGGGTCGATCGATGGGTGATCGGGTTGGAAGTTGGTGGTTGGTGGAGGAAAAAAGCCGTCGGAGATCGGACCGACTGGTCCGCCATCAGGATTGGCCCCGATTCGCGGGGCGGGGCCCGTTTACCCCGACCCCGGGAATCGATTTACATATCCCTGTAGGAACCCAGGCCTGGTCCTACAAGGATCTTCAAGGCCA